GATTTTCTCAGGAAGACCTTGGGTTTAGACTGGGAAGTTGAGGAAAAATGCATGGATATGTCCATGAGATCACTAGATATTAAGTTCAGCTCGAAGGAGACCTAACTTTAACTGCCAAATTGAAGTAAATAAAACATAAATGTATAATTTATAAGACTGTTTCAATTTATAAAAGTCCAATTTATTTATGGACTTCAATTTATGAGTCCAATTTAAATTATTGGTCATATAAAGACTTCTATTTTTGCTAATGTTGTTTGAAGAGTGCCAGAAATTTGAAAACTGAATAACTATTAGGAAAAGATGTTGTACATTTGAATAAGCATTTGTTCTTTATGAAACCCAAATAATTATGAGGAGAGACAAATGGATGGAAGCAGAAATGACTCTAGTTCACAGTTGTGTCCCTCGTTTTCCTACATGAAGCTTTGTTCGTGGCATGTTTTGTAAGATGAAAAATGTAATTCATCCCTTGACAGTAACTAATTATTACTGATTACTGAAGAATAAGTCAACAAAGATATTTTTTTTTCTGTTTACATTCTTAGCAGAGTGTATCCTAGCCATCTGTACTCCCAAATCTCTTTCCCCATGGGATAAATTCTTCACATTGTTCACTGAAAATAGGCAGGCAAATATGCCAGGTTCATTTGATGCTTAGTTGCAACACTATGGACAAAGCATGTAAATGAGGTTTACATAATAAAACATACAATAATATCCAGGAAAGAAATTTATCCTCAATGGTAATTTTCAATGTACATTGTGATCCTCTGTAGGAAGATCTCAATTGAAGCAATTCCTTGACACCTACTAGGGAAGGTCATTTTTTTTACAAAAACCCATAGAGACCTTCACATCATTCATTCCAAATCTATGCAATGCAATATGCTTGTCACATCCTTTTGTTGTGACTGGTTGACTCACCGCCCATGATTCTCTATGAAAGTGAAAATTGGATTTTGAAGAAGCAGACTGGAAAAAGTATTGATGCTTCTGAACCGTTGGAGAAGACTCTGGAGAATGCCATAGAAATCCAAGAAAACATACCAATAAAACACTGACCAAACCAAACCAGGTTCCTCATTCAAGGTATAAATGACTAAATTCAAATTATACTACTTTGGATATCACATGTGAAGATCTTGTTCTTTAGAGATATTAACAATGCTAGGAGAGGTAAAAAGAAAAAAGGAGACGAGAATGACCATCCATAAGGTGGATGGAGTCAAGTCGTGGTGGGTGCACCGTTGAAAGACTTAAAGAACCAGGTTGAGGACAGATCCTGCTGAAGAAAAATCTACCTGTTTGATCACTAAGAGTCAATATGGACCTGATGGCAGATAATCAATGGAAGCTTTAATGCAAAGTTGGGTCTAGGTTTGAGGTGTCCTGTTCAATATATTGACCGAGCTCTCTTGCAAAATGCAAGCTTCCAACCTGGAATCTTTCTGGATCCATAGCTTAGCTAGAAGAACAGGTGGAAGATGTGACCAGGAAGTCCTTCACCTGGGTTCAGCTGGTATATCAATTGTGGCCACTTCTAGAACAGGAGACACTGAAGGCAGTTGTTCATAGTCTTGTCATCTCTTGACTGATAGGTATAATTTGCTAAACATAGCACGTTCTATGAACATTATCCAGAAGCTTTAGCTTGTGCAAAATATGAGTGTCCCTGTGGTAACAGGTCAGACCCAGTATTGTCATTGTTATACTGCTATTATACGAACTGTGTGGCTATCGGTTTATTTCCAATTTCAATTCAAAATCCTGATTATCACCTATATCCGTGATGGCGAACCTATTGCAGACGTGCCAGAGGTGGCATGCAGTGCCCTCTCTGTGGGCACCCGAGCTGTTGCCCCAGCTCCACTCTGCCATGCATGCACACGCACCTCCCGCTGGCCAGCTGGTCTTTGGGTCTCTGCCGTGCATGCACGGGGGTGGGGTACATGTGGGGTGTGTGTGCATGTGCGGGGAAAGGGTGCATGCGGGGGTCACATGGGGGGAGGGCACATGCGGCTGTCACACATGCATGGGCAGGGGTGGGGGGCAGGCTCAGGGCCCACACGCACATTGCATTTTGTGGGTTCAGGTGCGCGCAGGCGCGCTTTGGGCACTTGGTCCAGAAAAGGTTAGTCATCACTGACCTATATGGTGGTGGCTATATAGCTGGATGGCTGGATATTTTCAGGATTATCTATTCTTGTTGAATATGCATTCCTTTGGGGATAATTCTAATGCAGTATGTGGAAGTACATTCAGGACTGGGGAATCAGTTTGCCCCCATAATGCTTCTTTAGTAATATTTTTCCCTACTGCCAATATTTTCCCCTTAACATTAATGATAGACTTTACAACCACATTTAAAACAGAGACACAATCTATTTTGATATGAAAGAAGGGATTTCTAAGGATTAAAATGCTGGTGTTTACAGCCAATGTCTTAAGTACATGCCTTCTGAGTTTTTTAAGTTTTGTAACTTTAAAAAATATCTAAACACAATCCTAGGCACGAATAATGTCAGTGGACTATAACTGCCCTTGTCCTTTGCCAGCATTGTGAACTGCTGAGGACTGTAGCACAACAGCATCTGCTGAGCTACCAATTCATTACCTGGGACCCAAGGTTCTTCAGAAGTTGCCTCCATCCAAATCTGGCTCTGTTTTTTTTTTATCAACTGGTAGGATCTTTCCAAGTTTTTGACTTTCTAATCCCATCTCGAATTACAAAGACATGCGGAGATTTCCCCATAAAAGAATGCAACATTTCTACAAACGTTACTTTATAACATCTTAAAATCAAGCTTGGATCTGATAAATTGTCATTAGCATCTTCAAAAAGATTAGTATCAGGGAATTACTATAGACAAGTCACAGGTGATTGTATTTAGATAGACATGAAAATAGAAATTTAGTCACAGTCCAGTAGGGGGTATCCTCCTCCAGACTGAAATAAGGAACATTTCGAGAAAATCCTGGTTCCCCTGTTATCTTGTCTGTATTTGACAGGTTCTCGCAAGACAGAAAGAGGTGGGAAAGAGTGTGCATAGCTTCTCTTCCTTCAAGGTCTTCTTTAATTTAATAGATTAATACAAGGGGAAAAAATCAGTCGGAATTTTGTAATTATTATTTTTGCAGTAGCCAAATGAGAAATTAGCACGTTAAAAAATCGCATATATCAAAACATGCTATCAATCAGGGAGAGTTTCCAAATAAATACTGTATATTAAAAGATTACTGAGATTCCGATGAATGCTAAATATTTTTTTTTAAAGCCCTTCTCTGTGCGTGTCTGTGTTTGTATGCATTTATGTATACGTACATACTGTATGTATACATGTGCATATCCTCGCTCATGATCCCAAAAAAGAAACTGTTTGATAATGCATAATAATAGTTACACAGAGTGCAATTAACAGTGTGTAAGAGGAACTGGGCAGAAAAGTAAATTAGCATCTGGGTGTTGTTTTTTGACACTTATTTCGTGTTTACTAAAAAAATATTAATGAAACGCAAAAGCTAAGCTAAGTCAGAAAGAAAGAGCATTTCTGCAGCAGAGCTCCGGTGCACATAGAAGCAGAGAAAATGATGAGTCCCAAGGGTTCTCTGTACAATATGTATATGCAATAAAAAGACAATAAGCTCACCCTCCTGACATACTTTCTTTTGTGCAGCATTTTGCTTGACTGCTCTCTCAGTTAACATTAGTACAGTTGAGGGTTAGATCTGGGGGACTAATGCTGTCTGGATGCACAGTATGCATGTTATATTACAGGACTCGTCTTCGTGAGGAAGATCTGATTTCTACATCCTTTAAAGAAATTCACCTATGTTTCACAGAAGGGTGTGTGTGTGTGTGTGTGTGTGTGTGTGTGTGTCTATATTTTTCATTCATCTCTATGCATTTTCTACCTTTGCCCACTCAAGTCAAGTTAAAACATAGTCGAAGTCCTGCTAAACCAGTGAAAAACCCAGATAAATATTCAAAGCGTTTGCCCTTAAATCTGATAGGATTTAAAAGTGTTTTGCTTTGTGCTACGCCCATGGAAGGGTGAGTGGATGGATTGTTCTGTGTACATGTACATGAGGATTACAGATATGCGTGTTCAGTACAATAACTGAAGTATTGTGATTCTTCTTGTGTGTATGAAAGACAGAGACTATATTTATACATGTTTACTGTGCTACACAGACAGTAATTTACCTTTAATACAGTTTGAAAACCCAATCACGCTAGTTAGATGAAAATCGTGGCATCTTACATTTACCTGCAGATAAGAAAAATGTGTGCCATGACGTTAGATGGTATTTTTTTTATTTATTCATTCATCACATGTTGAAGGTATGCATAATATACCTTATTGGATGTGCCAGTATATGAGTTGAGTAACAATATTAATTTTTACCTGAAAATATAAAAGGTATAATATATTTTAGTCATGCAGTATTATCAATGTGCTGGGAAAAAAATGTTCCTCTTCTTTTGTTTTATTGCTGTAATCCTCTTTCTCCTCCACCCTCAAATATAAGGCACCACCTAGAAGTTAAATTTCTCTGATACCCGGTTTACAAAAGGTTCTCTTCTTGTTGTTCAGAAAATCTAACTGCACCTACTAAGATTAGGAAACCAGCAGAAAAAGGCAACATTTCTTTTCCATTAGGATTCTGCATGAAAGAAAGACAGAGTAATTTCTATGGAGCAAATTCCACCCCCTCCCTCCCTCTTCCTTTTTCCTGGCAAGGTCATGATATGATGCAGATATTTGGAGATCAAATTATTTAGAAATATGACCGTGTCATCAAAATAAAACATGTTGAAATGCACAGCCAGCTCACAAACCAGATTGCATGTGAAAATTGGATAATACTTGGCTGGAGACCTGACAAGTCAGTGAAATTCTAAACTCCAGGGGATTGTTCCATTTTATTCGCCTTGAAATATAAATCTATCTCAACATGATATTTAAAGCTGTGCACTGTGTGAACTCCCCAGTGACTGAATTTCTTCCCTGACTTTATGAGTCAGCCACCTACCATTTGCTTCTTGGCCACCAGGTGGCATCCTCCAGAAATGGACATCTGTCCATTGTCTCCCTTCTGAAGTCTCCATGGAAAGGTAAATATTATATTGTTTGTTTGCTTGCTTGCTTGCTTGCTTAATTGCTTGCTTGTTTATTAGATCATTATCCTGTCTTTATTATTTACAAGTAACTTAAGGTGGCAAATATATAATGTTGTACACAGATTCCTCCTTCCATCAGAGAACGTAACACAAAGATATTAGCAGAAAAGAAAAAGAAAGTTTCCAGCTATATTGGCACAATATACTGGGCTTTAAGAATTTTGCTACTGATAAATTTAGTAGGATACCCTTTTAACAAATCTGATATATCAAAAAGATTATAAAATTGTTGTTCCTGTCAGAAATAGCATTATATCAGATATATATAGACACACACACACACACACCATAGAAAGTGTATCCTCTTTCATTGATGAATATATTTCATTGTCCTAAAAGGAGTGCCAGTCGTGTGTGATGGCTTAGATTATTAATAGACATATACTCATTTCTTCAAGTATTATCACTAATTTTCCCTTCATTTTCTTCCTAATATTTTTTCAATATGAAATAGTTTCCCCTGTATTGTTCTGAAGTTTATGAGCTAGAGTGTGAAAGTGAAAGGCCCAAGAAGGGCTCTGAATCCAAGGGTGGCATTTTTTTTGGCTGGGTTTAAATTTCAGTTCTGCTGTTTGGATGGTGACCATGGCCAAGTTCCTTCCTCTTGAACATACCTTCCATAAGAGACAACCAAAAGAGACAACATCCAACTGCTCTGCACAGAATAAAGATGGGCTACTAAATCAACTCTGTTCTTCCCCATTTTGGAATAGCAGACAAATCCGGGTGGCCTCAGGAATCATCTTTCTTTCCACATCTGCCTGCAGAATAGTCATCTTTATTTCAATAGAATTGTTGAGAAACAATTAGAAAGCCCCCTTCCTGCACAAACTGATCTCAGATCCTTGGCTTCTTAACTCCCAAATTGCTTATATTAAGACATTTATGAAAGCTGTAATTGCATTTGACAATTGCAACAAAACCAAAACAAGACAAAAGAACCTTATGACATCTTAAAAGGCTTAAATTAAATTTAAGCATCTTAAATTAAAGGAAAGATGAAGGATTCTGGCACATAGAAAGAAAAACAACCCTTCCTGCTAACAAAACAGCATGCTAAATATTGTGCATATTTTTGCTTGCAGAAGTCCTTATAGCCACCATTTTATCTTCAACCAGAAAACAATAAAATGGTGGTGAAGGAATAGTAGAACCACACTTTTCATCTGCAAGAGACTATTCAGAATGCAGTTGGTGCAGATACTGCAAAATTTCAGAAGTGGTTTTCCCTTGCCTTTTTCTAAGGACTGAGAGATTGAGAATTCACAGCCTCCTGATTTCTAGCTTGATGCTTTTACCACATCACCAGGCTGACTCTCCACATCTTGCTATGAAGTAGGAGAGAGAGAGAGGAGAGAGAGAGAGAGAGAGAAACACACAGAGAGAGGATTCAGCAGTGGAACAGCAATGTACTTTCTAGCCATTAATCTTGAAACCGAGAGGAAAAGTGTGCCTATTCAGCTGTATACAAATTTTTGCCATGAAGTACTTCTAAGAACCACACTAATGGGATCGTACTATATTCCTAAAGCACAGAATCATGAGAGAGGTAGAGTTGTAAACTGACAGTCTTTTCCTTCCTTCCTTCCTTCCTTCCTTCCTTCCTTCCTTCCTTCCTTCCTTCCTTCCCTATCTACCTACCTACCTACCTACCTATCTCCACATATGTGTTATAGTCAGCTATACATATTCTACACAATGGACATTTTTGAGGAACGTTGCATTCAGCTATTTAGAAAACCCCAAGAAGAACATTTTTGATGGGATGGCCGACACGCATTTTAAAGCTAGCTAGTCATTTAGAGTGTATTGTTTTTCTCAAACTAAGTATCATGAAAAACCCATTAATAATGGTGAAAACAAGAAATTCACTTTCCATACTGGATTAATTTTTACCCCGATTAACAAAGGTGCTATAGCTTCTCGGTTAAATAGGTTACAGGATTCTAATGCAACTTGGTGACAAGGAGGAAAAAATGAATCATTTGGAGAAAACTAGAAAAACAATTGATGAGGGAATTTTATTACCAAGCTAAGTACTGTATAAGATGGTTAAAAAAAAACCAAAAACCCTTAAATCTGAAAATAGATGCTTGGGTTCAAATATTACTGAACAAAACAAATGATAAGTTGTCCTTTAAAGCAAAATCTTCTAGGATATCAAACTAGAAACAACTGAGCAAAGAAAAAAAATATATGAAATGTGATGAACTCCAAATAGTGATCAGTTTAATTGCTGAAGGAATTTTATCAGATATAACATTTTTGATTTTGCAAAAGAAACAAACAAAAAACCCCAAACTTATTGTATTTTGCTTGCTTAGATCTTCCTATATACCATAAGCCTACCTCCATGATTCCAGACTCTTGGTTAAAACTTCAATCATTGGAAAATACCTGGTCTAAAGACTGACATTTGATGAATGATTAGGCAATAATAATGTTACGTAGCACAATCCCGCATCTACTTATTTTACTGATTTCAAGGGGACAGAATAAGATCGTGTTTCCACTGAAATCAAAGGTTTTGTTCACTGCAATGAATTGCTTTTTGTTATCTTGGTTTAGCATAGTGTGTTTTTAAAGCAACTTTCTTTTAACCATCACAAACCTCAGCCAGGTTTCTGTGCTGTGAAAGAGATGTCGTTATAAAAGGGAATTCAGTGCCTTGACATTGAAAACTGTTGGAGATATTTCATTATCTCTTGACCAAAACACCAAGACTTTGGGCAACTGATTTCTCCAGGAATCTGAGCAAGAAATTAATGTGGTGTCAGCAGCATCTTAAAACAGATTGCAAAAAATTGGGGTTATTAAAAACTACAAAGATTAGGATTTATGGTTTTACAAATATGTCATATTCTATCCAGGCTTTTAAATTTAAATCACTGTCCTTCCATGTAAGATGGGACGGGTGGGGGAAAGTATTGAAAATTTAGAGCCTTTCATCCAGGGGTGTGGAATTTCTAAGAAAAGACAACAGGAAACTATAAACGTAGTAACACCATGAAAATAATTTTCTGATGCACTATTTCTTTCAGTGTTCAAAGGCTACATTGCCCAGACCAGAAAGGAAGCTGTTGTATCATTAAAAACCCAGGAGCCTCAAACAGCAGCTCTTTTGTAAAACAGCCCCTCCTTCCTCTTCGGATTGGCATATCTCATAAATCTTTGCTTCAAACTCTGCTCAAGCCATTGGCTGACTCTACCTCTTGCGTTAATGGCTGGAAACTGTTGTGCATCAGGTTCAAAGGGAACAGAGAACATCTCTGAAAACAACTCCTGGTAAAGGAGGCAATTATAACTGACAGCCAGATGCCTCCTCTGTCTGGCCCAACCAGTTTACCAAGAGCTTGTAAATGGTTCTTAAGGCCACTGGATCTAAACAGTGTGTCTGGCTGACTGACAGCTTAAGTAAACAACAATGCTACAAATCACTAATACAAAACAGTGGATTTGCTTGGGACTGATAACAAGATTTTAAACATGGAAGCCAACCCTCCCCGCCTCGCCATCCACCACCCCAGGTGCCACCTCCAGCTGTCTTCCTTTCTTTTGCCTTTTTTTTAAAGTATCCCAGAAAGAAACAGTTCAGAAGGATTAAGAGCATAGTCTTTTCTTATTTCATTCCCTGAAGAGGACGTGTTGAGGCAGCAGAATTTGATGCATCCCCATCTTGGGATCACATATCTCATGAAGTTGCTTTATTTTTATTGCATCGTTCACATTCTTTCTTTCTTATAAAATATTCCAGCTGTCTGGAATGACAAATTGCTAATTGTAATTTTTTGTAGGGTAAGTGTTCCACCAAATCCTAAATAGTCCCCCAACCTGGCAACTTCCTGGTTTCTTAGACGTCATCTATTTTAGAATTTAGAATAGAATAGAATAGAATAGAATAGAATAGAATAGAATAGAATAGAATAGAATAGAATAGAATAGAATAGAATAGAATAGAATAGAATAGAATAGAATAGACTTTGGAGAACTTCTAGTCCAGCCTCCTGCTCAAGCAGGAGAACCTATACAATCTCAGACAGGTGACTGTCCATTCACTTCTGAAGTCAAGCTGTTCCACTGGTTAATTGTTCTCCCTGTTAGGAAATGTATCCTCAGTTCCAGGTTGCTTCTCTCCTTGATTAGTTTACAACCATTATTTCTTGTCCTGCCTTCTGGTGCTTTGGAGAATAATTTGACTCCCTCTTTGTGGCAGCCCCTCAAGCAGGGATGAAATCCAGCAGATTCTGACAGGTTCTGGAGAACCGGTAGCAAAAATTTTGAGTAGTTCGGAGAACCAGCAAATACCACTTCTGGCTGGCCCCAGAGTGGGGTGGGAATGGAGATTTTGCAATATCCTTCCCCCAGGAGTGGGGAGGGAATGGGGATTTTGCAGTATCCTTCTCCTGCCATGCCTATCAAGCCATGCCACACCTACCAAGCCATGCCCACAGAACAGGTAGTAAAAAATTTGGATTTCACCACTGCCCTTAAGTACTGAAATGCTGCTATCATGTCACCCCTAATTCTTCTTTTCTTTAGCCAAACCCAAAATCTTCCTTGATTCCATCAATGGCTGTGTTGACTGACTGAGGATTATAGTATGTGAAGTGCAACACATGCAGAGAACACCGGTTAGGACAATACTACCAAGCACAAATCTAAGGTCTCACCACCAAGGAAGCCTCCAGGGTCAGTGCTAGATTTTTAAAAACGCAACAAGAGCGGAAGCCTTGCTACTACTTAGGAAAGAAAGGGATCCAAAATGTGCTCTGGAAAGTGAAAGTATGCAAAAGAGAGAATGTCAGGCAGGAGAAACTGGAAACAGGAGAATCGAAAGTGGGAGCACAGCCTGTATTCATTCTCTCCTCCCTTTTTTATCTTGGCAATTCAGTTAAAACTCCTTCCTCTCGGCTAGATTGCCACACATTCTCCAGTCCCTGAGTCGGATAGGCATAAATTGCACATTTCCAAAGTTTGAGCCTATTCTGCCTCAGTAATGAGCTTTTGACTGGTGCTGTCCCAGCAATATTTGTATGGGACAATCTAAGGGTAGCACTTGGCTGCCTGTTCCCCACCAAGAATCATCACCTACTAATAGAACAAAACATGGATCACTGCCCTTAATCAATAGCAAGGTGAGTTTGGGTAATTATTTGTGGGGTACCAATAAAGGAGAATATTTGTAGCTCCGGGTTGAAATGAGGTGTCCTTGGTGCTTTCTGAGCTTGCTTGTTTTCTAGTCTAGCACTGATGATGTTACCTATTTAGGGTAGTAAAACATCTGCAAGAACACAAGCAAACTCAGAGAGCACCAAGGACCCTTTATTTGTGGGTACATGGAATAAAGACTTTATTCCTTTGTTGCCTGAGTGAAGGTTGCCACCACAAATGACTGCTGTACCACTAGGGCAGGGGTGGGCAACTGTGGCCCTTTTACAACCTGTGAACTATCCTCTTTGAGGATATCCCTGTACTTTGCTCCATTCAGCTTTCCCTCAACCCTGACCAGTCTCCAACTTCCTGCTGCTGAATAACACCTCCATAGCATGATGCTGCCACCATCATGCTTTACTGTTGAGATGTATTGAATAGGTGATGAGTGGTGCCTGATTTCCTCCAGACATAACATTTAGAATTGAGGCCAAACAGTTCGATCTTGGTTTCATCAGACCAAAGAATACGGTCCTTCAGGTGCTTTTCTGCAAACTCCAAGTGGGCTTTCATGTGTTTTGTACTGAGGAGAGGCTTCCGCCTAGCCACTCTGCCATAAAGCCCAGAGAGATGGAGAGCTACAGTGATGGCTGTCCTTCTGGAATTCTGTTCCAACTCCACACAGGATCTCTGGAGCTCAGTCAAAGTGACCATTGGGTTCTTGGTCACCTCTCTTACTAAGACCCTTCTCCCCAATTGCTCAGTTTGACCGGGTGACCAGCTCTTGGAAGAGTCCTGATTGTGCCAAACTTCTCCCATTTGAGAATTATGAAGGCCACTGTGCTCTTAGGAACCTTCAGTGCAGCAGAATTTTATTGTAGCCTTCCCCAGTTCTGTACCTTGCAATAATCCTGTCTCTTGAGCTCTGCAGGCAGTTTCTTTCATCGCATGGCTTTTGTTTTGCTACAATATGCATTGTCAGCTGTGTGGTCTTCTATAGAGAGGTCTGTGCCTTTCCAAATCATGTCCAATCTATTTAATTTACCACAGGTAGACTCCAATCAAGGTGTAGAAACATGTCGGCAACAATCAAGAGAAATGGGAGGCACCTGACCTAAATTTCAAGTGTTGTTGCAAAGGGTCTGAATACTTATGCCAATGTGATATTTCAGTTTTTTTCTTTTTAATAAATTTACAGACATTTCCAAAATTCTGTTTTCATTATGGGGTACTGAGTGTAGATTAATGAGAAAAAAAATCAGCAACTGTAGAATCAGGCTGCAGCATAACAAAATTGACAAAAGTGAAGGGGGTCTGAATACTTTCTGAATGCACCGTATATGTAATCCACTAACCAAGCAAATTATTCCACTTGCTTTTCTTTTGCCTTTTGATCTGGTTGAGGCCTCTGCCAAATTGAGTTGCCATTCATAGATGGGAATCATTTTTCCAAGATTTAAAGTGCCCCAATACTTTAGTTCTGATACATCTGGCTGTATTTGGGAAAGTAAAAAAAAAAAAAAGACAGATGAAAAATGGGTTGCTGCACAAGTATGTCAGGAATCATCTCATTGACACCATGGAAGGTGGGTGTGGATGGGGGGAGGATAAAGCAAATGTTTCCTGCCACATTGTGACATTCACCCTGTGCAGAGAACTCCCATTTCCACTGGCGTCATTGGGAATACCATGGACAGAAGAGGCTGCCAAGTTCACTCTAGCTACATGTACAGGGATGAGAATGCAGGGAAAGACATTTCAGTGAGCTATCAATTTTTTGTTTCTAAACAGAACAAATTCTTCAAAATGAAAAAGGTCTTCTGCAGTCACGACATAAGGCTAAGACCGAAAATCAGGCTTGTCAGATATTACATCCTTTCTATCCTGCTCTACAGGGTAGAGAGTTGGTCTCTGACAGAAAACCACTTGAAGAAACTAGAAGCATTTGAAATGTGGATTTACAGATGGCTGTTACGTATAAACTGGGTTAACAAAATCACAAATGAGGAGGTGATAAGCCGTCTGGGAAAGCAAAGGGAAATCAAGAAAGCCATTAAAAAGCGAAAGGTAAAATATTTTGGACATGTGATGCGACACCCAGAAAAATACAGCATCCTTCAAGGAAAGATTGAGGACTTAATCCTCCAAGGAAAGATTGAAGGCAAACGAGGTCCAGGCAGAAGAAGAACATCATGGCTTCAAAACCTAAGGGACTGGTTTGGACAAAATTCAGCAGCACTTTTTCATACGGCTGTTGACAAAAATAGGATTGCCAACATGATCGCCAACGTCCGATGACGTTGGCACAAGAAGAAGAAAAAATAGAACAAATGGCTTGGAATGAAATTTCCTATCTGACAATATGTATAGATGTTGCACTACAACTTCCATCAACTCTAGTCAGCAATGCATAAACTGCTGCTGAGGGATGGGAGTCACAATAGTTATAAAGTTGTATACATTTTTTAAATAGATGATAAATAGATGACAGGTAGACGGATAGGTAGATATAATAGTGATTAAAAGAAAAAGTAGACAAATGGACAAAAAGAAAAATAACTGCAGGAAATGAAGTAACTGTGCATCTGAATACTTATATGTATGTTTTGTGTTCAGAGAAATACAGGTTTTAAAATAAGATTTCAATCACCTATATTTGATACTTATATTCAATACAGTATCAGAATGACATTTGTAAATATGAAGGTATTCTATTCCAAAAAAAATCATTGTTGGAAATAAATGGTAACTAGACCTGAATTAATTTATCTTCCATTGTACAGTTTTACCAAGTACTTTAATGTAGTGACAGGTTTTTCAACAACAGCAAATCCTCAGACCTTTAAATGCCACCAATCAAATGAAAGATAAATTTAAATGCTTCTGTGTTTTCCCATAGAAAACCTGGCAGCTAACAAAAGAATTGAATCCATTTCTTAAATTGCATAGATTTATTTGCCTTAGAAAACATGGACACTAAAACAAGATTCAGCATAAAATCCACTCGAAGTCTTCATAGAGTTGACCAGCCTTCTAAATCAAATCAAATTGATCCAATCCAATCCAATCAATTTGGAGTGATTTTCCCAATTTCTTCAAGAACTTTTGACCCAAAAGACTAACTATATTTAGAAAGATCTCTCTCTCTCTCTCTCTCTCTCTCTCTCTCTCTCTCTCTCTCTCTCCCCTCCTTCTCTCCCTCCCTCCCTCCCTCTCTCTCTCAGAGAGAGGGGGAGAGGGGAGAGGAGAGGATACCATTTTGGTGGAATAGCAAGCCACCAACTTCCTTATCAATTCCTGACATGTGCTAAAATAGATTTCATCAATATATCCTTGGCTGAACCACTCTCAAAGAGTAAAAATGATTTGAGAATCAGGTTTTCTGTTCTGCAAAACTGTACTATCTGGGATTATTAGGAAAAAGACATGACAGAGTTACTGAACTGAAAAATTCACATTCAGCTTCACATTTTATAATAAGTCGGGATAATAACACAGGAAATGTGAGGAATTAATTTAGAAGCCGTTCCTAAACTCTGCTTCAAAACATCATATTTAGAGGCATTTTTTCTACACTTAATATTTTATCCTGTAGCATTTAATTGGCCAAACGCATCTATGGGATTCACTCTGGATGCTTAGAACAAACCCCCTCAGTGTAAAATATTCTAGTAAAAATTTCACATTAGCAATGTTTCAACACAATAAAACTCAAAATGACTCAAGCATTCTCTATTTTGTTGGAACTAAATTATTTTATTTTATTTTTGCGAATATTACAGTCTTAACAAAACAATGAGGATAAGGAATAAAGTAGGCAAAAGTGCCAGAACTGTTATGTAAACATGGAATGTGGGTGCATTCCACTTAAGGTTGAGAAAATAACCACCAAGAGTTTATTAACAGCAAAGGCCATGTGAAAAGTCAAGTTTTACATCCTAGCACTGACACAGATACAAACATAAAGATTTCTTTACCTGCATTCTGTAGATTTTCGGTCTATATACGACTTTGGGGGAGGGGGTTGTCTCTAGTAAAAAAAAAAAGTTATTTATCAATAGGGAGATTTTGAAGTTTTTGCTTTTATTGACTTCCTCACTACTGTGTTGGGTAAAATAGAAGTTTACAATAATGCTATCTTGAAATCTTGACAATCGGAATTCAGACTAATCCCTTTATATCTTTATTTTTCATCCCAGGGCTAAAAGGCTAGATAGTGTGCCATCCATGCTGATTGCTACTATCCAGCAAACTTGCTGAAAACTTGAACAAAAAGATTACTTTTTTTTTTAATGTAAACACTAAAACAATTTCTCATAGAAATCAATGAGAACATAGCTGTGTTTTCATTTACTGAAAAATGATCTGGATTAAAAATATAAATGTTAACATAAAAAGTACTTTATCTTTGAAATTTCAAAACAGAAATTTCAGTTCTTTAAATCCTGAATGGTTAGTGAAGACATTACCAGCCCCTCCCCCAAAAAACTGATCTATGTATTATTCCTTGTACTAAGCAACTTTCCCAGCTTGAACATAATCAAGCCAACCTGTTGCTATAACTCATACTCAGGGGTGACATTTACCTACCTTCGCTACCGGTTCGCAAATGTGAGTGTGCATGCCTCCTCCACACATGTGCAGCCTTCTGCACATGCGTAGAAGGTAAAAAACGGGACTCGATGACATCTGGGCGGGTGGGCGAAGCCTCCCGCTGCTGGCACTACCATTCACCCGAGGCAGATAGAACCAGCTCAATTTCACCACTGCTCATACTGCATTCCATCGCTATGAGTTTTTAATTTTTTTTAAAAAAAGAAATAATCCTGGCCAATTTTTATATAGACATTGCCACCTCACCTACTTAGCAAACTCAAGGAACAGATTTGGCATGTTATAGTTTTGATGTTGGTTTGCAACTTGCTTGCCAAGCAGAATCTCAGCAAAAGGAACTGTGTTGATTTATGTCACTCTTTTTGCCTGCACCAGAAAAGGAGGGAGGGAGTGGACAGAAGGCAGGCAGGTTTTTCTTAACTGTGGGAATTTTACAATACAGTGAAAAAGCATGCTTAAAGCACATACACATACTAAAGCTCCACAAACCAAACACAAATTGTCATATCAAGCTTTTATTTATATAATTTCAGCAGCATTGCCAAAAAAAAAAAAAAAAAAGCCAACACATAGCCAGTGGTGAAATCCTCCGAGGTTTGCCACTGGTTCTACCGCGCAGCACGGAAAAATGAAGCTTAAGAAGGTAAATAGAACAGCGAGGGGGGTGGGGGAAACAGCTATGCAAGATTTCCTGCTTTCTAGCAAATATAAATTGCGCGGCACAGCTGATCATCGGAAATACCGGTTCAGACAAACTGGTAGCATTTCACCCTTGCATATAACCCAGGCGTCCCCAACCCTAGGTCTAGGGACCAGCACTGAGCCACAGCATAACAGCAACCAGGCCACATAAACAAGCAAAGCCCCATCCGCAGGATGCAGGCAGCACGTGAAACCCCGCCCCTTCCGGTCCACGGAAAAACCTCTCTCCACAGAACCGGTCCCTGGTGCCCAAAAGGTTGGGGGCCGCTGACATAGCCTATCATGCATGCCCTCCTTTGTGTTATCTGCCAGCAAAATAAAGCATGATACAACACACTGCGATTCAGGCATCTGCCCACCCACCTGAACAGAAATATATAGAACAAAAATATTTGTTTAAAAGAGCCGAAACTTCTAGGGGCGGCTGGTCCATATGCTCTTCTGTTTGGCCACCTGCTGAAAAAGTTGCTTAAAATAGCCCAAACTGTTGAAATACATTTCAAGTTTGGGACGGTTGGAATGATTCTTATCATTTGGAAGGTTTTGCATATCTGTACAGCTGTTCTAGGGAATAGGAGGCTTCAGCGGAAGGAAGGACTTGTTCTCCCTCTACCTTCCCCCTCCCCTTTTCCTCTAGTGGGAGTTTTGTCACAGGAAATAGGGATCCAATCCAAAATAAGTACGAAAGAGGTAAAAAGTCCTCTGGGTGTAGAGTTGATCCTTAATGAATTCATGGACATTTCACACAGTTATCTTGGTAACAGGATAGAAGTGGTTTGCTATTGTCTTAGAAATTGTTTTTTAGCTTTTCAATTCCCATCAACCTAAAAAAAAAAAAAAGATGAAATATTGGAGATCGTGTTGGAAAACAAGTGCAAAGTAATACCAACTGGC